CTCAGTAACACTGGCCTCGGGTCAACTTAAGTCCCTGTATCTGGTCTGCGCAGACACTGGCGTCACTTCCTGTGGGAGAGGTCGGGTACAAGTCCTGCTCCGCAACAGGGGAATCAAGTGTCCCAGCTTGAGGAGACAGTGTGTCCCTTCTCCAGCTGGTTTGGAGGGATAAGTTGCTCCTGCAGGGCTGTCCCCAGAGACCAGTGGGCCTGGGAGAGAGGTGAGCACCCCTCTCTGACCACTCCCAAGCTAGACAGAGGTGCCCAGCAGAACTCTGAAGTGACAGGACTATTTGAGAGTTAAGGTCACCTCTCAACCTAGAGAACAGAGGACTCCACTCCTCCCCCGCCGGGCAGGATTCTTCTGCCCCAGCACCTCACCTCTGCACAGTGAAACGACTAAGATCAATGTGGCCAGGCGGAGCGGTGATGAGGTCCAGTGCCTGTCCCAGCTCAGTCTGGTATGAGGTCTGGGGACAAGAGATGTTATGGACCCAACCCTACATGACAATGTTCACACTACCCTCGGAGAAGAGACCCAGGAGCCACCTACCCCAGGGAGCACATGGGGAGCCTGAGTGCCCACCCCCTCACCATCACTGAAGGGGGGCCCAGGAATTGCCATCTCACTGTCACTGCCCCACAGGCACTCCCCTCCAATGCTGTAGGGATGCAGCCCCAGAGCAGTGCACAGGAAAGGCAGAGACTTTCCAAGAACAAAGCAGAGAGATTTGAACAAGGTCTGAAGTGCCTTTGAATGCAGTGAGGTGGGGGTGAGCCAGGGATGGGAAGAGATGGGAGATCTTGGGGGCACAGGGACCAGCCCCACCTGCAGGAAGAGCTCAAGCAGGTGAACGTAGTAGGGCTTCCCTCGGCAGTATTTCTTCAGCAACTGGTAGATACAGGACTCGAGTAGGAAGGAATCATTCACAGCATCCAAACCAATTCCCTCCTACAACAGAACAGGGACAGGTTACACCAGCAGGCCCAGCCACCCAGGCACCTCCACGCCCACTTTCTAGAGACTCCTCAACCTGTCCCCCAATACCCCAGGCATCTCACCCTCATTCCCACCCTCCCTAGTGCCCCCACTAAGACCCCGACAGCCTCTATTACCTTCTTATACCAGCAAGGTTGGCCACGTCGGGTGAGTGAGAAGTCCATGATGTCATCAGCCACCAGAAAAAAAGCTTGGAGCTACAATAAAAGGAGTTATAAGATAAACTTGCACAAGGTCCCATTACGGAGCTTCTGCATCCCAAAATCCCACCTTGACACTGAGATATCACCCCAATAAGAGCCCGATTCAGAGCAAACACTAACCAGCTCGATGCACCAGCCAACGGTCAAGGCACATTGGAAGTTTTCTGGGTCCTGCTGCTCTGGCCCCACCAGCTCCCGGAAGGCAGCCAGCACTGTCAGCCCCCGGTTATACTTCCCACCTGGGGTGTTGTATTCCAGAATCTGGAGAGGACACAAGGGGAAAGGAAGCTGTGCAGTCATCCCAGGAAGGCCTCATCCCACAGCTCCCTGTCCATGGTGCAGAGAGGTACAAAGCCCACCCGCATTGTACGCACTGTGAGGAGGAGTATTTCACTGGTCCCAGGGGGATGGGGGCCCTGCCTTAGTATCACAGTACCGCCAATCAACAACTAGGGACCTATCACCCTAGAGAGCAAGAGCGAATGGAACATAACTGGTCCAGTGAACCTGCAGGCAGCCTGAAACAATAGCTCGGGGGGACTGAGCTGCCCCATTCATCGCAGCGAGACGTTCACTCTGAAGCCTACAGACGGCAGCTAGAAGTGCCAGCAATGTCACTGCTGGCAGAAGCACCCAGGTCCCATGCTCCCCCCAGCCGTGCCCTGGCCCGGTAACCTCGAGCCCCCGCAGTCCCCGCCTCACCTCCTTCAGCCGGGCGACCGCGTCGCCCACCTCGGGGTGCTGGAGCCCATCTGCGGTGAGGTCCCGGAGCACCTGGGGGAAGAAGCCCACGAAGGCCGCCCTGTCCGCCGCTGCCCCAGCCCCAGCCCCGCTCATCGCGGTGCCTGCAACGGGAGAGTCACAGCCGGGGCCGCTCCTCGCCAGCCCGGCACCGACCTGCCCCCACCCACCGCCGCTCGGAGAGGGACCGCTGTGCCGCGCGGCACGCTGGGGCTTGTAGTTCTCGCGCTGCCAGAACCCCGCGGCGGCCAGCGCCGCTCCTCCGTCCACGGACTACAGTTCCCGGCATGCCTCGGGAAGGGGCGGGGCCCCACGGCAGCCCATGGCAGGCGGCAGCGCTCATTGGTCAGATCCATCGTATGAGACGCGCTCGGGAACTCTGAGCAAGTAGGAAGGTGAAGGGGCGGGGCTACCCCTTATTGGGCCTTGTGATTGGAGGAGGGTTATGGGCGGGAACCTGCGAATGTTAACACTTTAGATTAGGGTGTGATGGGGAGAGGAAGGGGGCTGAGGGGAGGGGTTGGGGGTGATGGGGAGGGGAAGGGGG